TTGGTCGGTGGTGTAGTGATGTCGTGTTGCGTCCGGATATTAAGGCGACTGATTCGTTTCCCTCTTTGTTCAAAAAAATTTTCGAGAAAGGGCTCCGTTCACGACAAGGAATACTAGCAACTCAAAGATGATTTCACAAAAGAAAGAGCAACTATTTCTGACGATTATCAATGATTAATGATTTACATGCAAAATGCTACAGCTGAGCTGAAAATTTTTAACAGAAAAGTAAGAAAGACAAAAGATATCATAAATAAAAGTGCTGAGGTAAGACGTCCCGGTCCAATAAATTGTGAACAACTTAATTCGGCACTGCAACTGGACTGCTTGTCTCAAAAATGATAAAAAATAACCTTCAAAATGTACGCGCTCAGTTTACAAGAAGTCTTTTCGAGCTTTTTCGGCACTCAAAGAGCTTGGATTTAAAAAAAAATAAAATTTCCTGCCCATATTCCATTTATTTAACCGGTGCAGCAGTTCAGGATCTGCCCTTCAAAAAGTTCGGAAAAAAATTAGAGCTACAGAAATCTGCATCCGGCAAAATTGATAATCAATTCGGAATTTCTTTTAAAATATGTGCAAAAACTGAGAAGCACATTATCGCGCTGATGAGAAACGATAAGAGCAGGGCGACAACAACAGCGACGATGGATCGTGAGCCAGACATGACAACGAACGAACGAACCAAACGAACAACGAACACCGAAACAAGCAGACACAAAGTTACATGCCAAGTACTGCTACCGTACTCCTCTGCCATCATTTTAGACAATTCACATTTCTAGAAAGTAAAGTGCGTTTTGTGTAAAAACATCCCCTCGACCGAAACTGCGCAATCTTTGAACTCATTTGGTCTTCAGAAAAGAAGCAATTTACCCAAAAAATTTTACCAAATTTACTCAAAAACTTTTACACAAATAATTTAACCAAAAATAGTAGCTTGGAGTTTTCGACCTCAAAAAAACACTGTATGTGGATATTTGCATAGAACTGCTCAAACGCTACTCCCTTTTGCTAAAACGATTTTTACTGACGCGATATTAAGTTCAAATTTGGTTGATTGGGAATCGTGATTAATGTCAATTTAAATTTCCAGAAGTTATTCTTTTTTCATGATTTTCTTTCTTCATGATTTTTTTCCAGAAGTTATTCTTTCTTCATTTCTGGTTCTCCATCGGTGTAACTGGGGATTTTTCCAAGCACTTCGTCCTACATTTTCATCGGCTGATGATCAGCCTGTCGATTCCGGTGTCTGTTTTGTTGCCAAAAAATAAAATCACAAAAAAAGGCTAATTCTTTAAATGAACAAAGTAAATACCAAACACTGTTTACAAAACAGCTTTCATTAATCTCCGCTGGAAGTTATCAATTTTTGATCGGAATTGCTTTCCTAAAAAATTACTGTGCCGTCATAGCTGCTTAAGCGCTTTTCAGAAACTCAATGTTTACAAGCTCAAATTTTTTACTGAAAATATTTGCGCAATGGAATTTTCCAAGTGTATTGAAATTAGTACTTTGAGAAGAGGATTTTTTTCGAAATCTTGGAATTTTTGAGAAATTTGTGCATGTAAATAAGCTTATATGCCTGTTGCATTGATGCTGATAATCCATGCAAGTTTAGGGATAAAAGTATCCATCAGCATGTTTGGTAAAATGAATCAATCCCGGAAATGTGAGTATTCTAGCTTTAATGGCTTCACGATCTTTTCATTCACGTAATCTGAGCTCTCGTCATAAATTCAACGAAAATTTTTAGTGCGGAACGAATTAAGCTGCACAGGAAAATCATCGGAATTTAATCTGGGATTATGCGTAGGGGAGGGCAGATATATCCATTTCTTTCACAGTTTCCGCTAAGCCCCAACGAAAAATCTACAGGCCCAACTGAAGCGTCCTGTGCCGATCTAATTAGCTTGGATAATGTGACTTAAAAGAATGCAATAAAACCTGGGGTAGATCAGTAAATGGTATCTAAGAGAAAGTTTTTCTCCACAGTGAGCTAGCAACGCTAAACTAACTGCAAATGTTAATATATAGATGATTTTAAGCCTTTCGTCCTCATTCAATCTCCTGTCACGGATATTCACTGTTTATATCTCTAAAATTTTCATAACGTTTAGATTCACTAGCTGGAGGGATGCTTTGACATAGTTGTGGAAGGATTGTTTGACATTTTTGCGGCCGGTGTGTGAGAGCATCCTGAAAGATGAAGATATGCCAGAAAACCGAGTTTTTATAAAAGTTTTATGTGTAACTGCTTTCTACAGTACTTGTACCTGCAAAAAAAAAGAAAAAAAAACGCATAGCTGCAAAGATTCTTAACCAATTTTTCAAACTTTTATAAAGTACCCAATTTTTCTTAAGATACCCAAATTTTTCCTTAAAATATCCAATTCTTCTGCTGGTAAAGAGCAAAGGATGGAAACCACCGCCGCAATGCAAATAAAAATTAAACATCACTGGAAAGTCTCGAGCAGAGAAAAATTACGGTAATGATGTATTTGCTGAAAGCTGCGTGTGAAGAATTGAATTTAAAATTTTCTCTTTCCTGCTCATCCTCGAACACCACTTTCTATTAAAAAAAAACGCAAAAATTTTGTTGGAAAAGATTTATCTCGCATTTTTCATTTGCCGCTGCATTACTTCAACTGATAGCCACTTTTTATTCGACATAATAGTGTAACGATGAACCTACAGTTTATCAAAAATACTTTAACTGTTCGAACAAAAAATACTTTTCCAACTTTTTTTAAAAAAATACTGGAGGACCCAGAGATTTACTTTAAAAAGTGGCAAAGACGATCGCCTTATTTCGGTAAATTTTACTTCACATTCTAGCAGAGTAATTACACTTTTCGATCTCAGTGAAAATCCCACTCAAAAAAATTTC